TGAATGATTTAGGTTACAAATATGGAGAACGATGAGAGAGAAGGAGAGGGATGAAGGGGAGGGATGAAGGAGAGGAAGAAAGGATATTTTAGTCTTATGGGTTTTTAGGGCTATTACTCTTTTAAGTAGTTCTTAATTTTTAAATTGATTTTTCTATTAAAATTAAATTAACATTTCTTTTTTCCACCTCATCAATTTTAACATAGTGGAATCTTCATGTAATTAATTTAAAGAAGTAGCACTCCTTCGTTAATTAACATGCCACCGCATTGAAAATTTAACGGAATGATAAAAAAGGTTAAAATTTCAAATTTTAGGGATTAAAACAAGGGTTTCTTTAGTTTACGGATTAGAAAAAGAGTCCATGCAATTGTTGAGGGACAATATTTAAGGTTTAACCTATCAATTATCCAGAATTGTCTAGGAATTGTATGTAGGTAGATGCATGGCACAATGAATAATCTACACTAGAGAAATTTGGATCAAAGATATGAGGAACATCAAGCCAAAGTCCCTTGCATGTAGGTCAATTAGATGACACAAGGAAGAATCTATTATAGCTTACATAGAGATTCCAATCCCATATCATGGAGTAGATCTTGGACCCGTTAAATGGTTAGAGGAGGAATGTGGGTTGCAGCTCAATCTATGAGTAAAACCTAAGCAGGAGGCGAATCAAAGGAAGTGTGGTTTTTGTATGTCTATAAGGGTCCAATGACGGTGCAAATACTCTACAAATATTAAGCTCATTTGATTGTAACTCAAAACCTAATTTTCCTTCAAAATCAGAAGTCTTGTAATCATGCATTGATTCTTTTACGTACCTACTTTTAGCCTAAATGCAAATCTAAAGGTTGCAAACCTTTCTTGCCCTAATGTTTTTCAAGCTTTGTTCTAGCTGGCTACCAATCTCTAGAAGTTCCTCAACAGAACATGAGCCCAATCCTTGACCCAACAGCTTCCTGTCTGACATTAAAATTTCAAACTTTAGAAATCTTTTCACTTGGATGATCAGGTGAAGTAACATAACATAAGCATTAAATCAATTTTGAAACTTTCAGAAACTTCTAGGAACTCAATCTTCTTAAAACTTAACCATGATTGCTATCTCAATACTCAAGTGCTGCACTTCGCAATTTTTTTGAGGAAACTGCAAGTATTATTAGCAGCTGTAGGCTAGTAACTTATTATAACTCGTGAAGCGAGCTATTTCTTGAGAGCAATGAAGTTGTAACCTAGATTATATGTAGAGAAATCCAATCATATTTATCAAAGTATCAAGCCACAAAACCTAGTTAAAACAAAAAATTGCAAGGATTTGATTAATACATGGAATAATTTGCTGAAATCGATGAAGTATTATAACTTGGTTTTGGACTGCCCCCTTGGTAACATATTTATAGGAGATTTGAACAAGCACTTATCTGAGCTTTGAAACTCTTCACTTCCTAAATCATGGATTTAGAGTCCAAAACCATGATATAAACCACAGAAGGAGCAGATTGGCAGCCAAGTTAATTTTCATTTTACGCAACTGTAAATAAAGTACTTATCTTTCCGTTCTAAATAGAATTGGAAAATGATTAATGCATACTCAATTTAATATACTTTTTAATACTCGTTTAGTTCAATTATTAAAATATAATATAAGTACAATTCAACTCAGTTAATTCTTGCATCATATATGCATAACTATATTTTTTAAGTTTGTTTACTTTTAATTTCATACAAAAAATGATAATTTTTTAATGAGTGTATTGTGTCGTGTGTATCAATCCAAAAGAATTATAATATATATAATATCATCTATGCTTACATCTACGGCCAAGTAAATAAATTCTGAACTGCCCTTTTCTCGGGAAAAAATTCTAAAATTTAATCTGTACAATGAAAAATGGAGGTCTAACCTGCTTGTGTTGTTCCATTTCAGGCCTCTGAGTCAGAATTTCTGTTGTATACATATAGTATCGTTCAATGGCCTTCTGCTGCTGAAGCATTTCACCAAAAAAAAAAAAGAAAAAAAAAGAAGGTCATTAATCCATATCACCAGTTTCTTAGGAATAAATAAATAAAACTCAAAAGAAACTAATTAGTACACCTCTAGGTTAATAAATCCACCAACACACTTATTAAGAAATTATTATTTTCGAATTAGAATTATGGGTCTAGATAGAAAAGAAGCAACTGCACATATTGCAGCTAGAAGTTGTTTGTCAAAATTTAACATGAATATTGTATACTTTATAGCATTTGAGAACCTTAAATGTAGCCCTAAAAGATATCCCAACAATTAATCAAGAGCTTAAGACTTTAAGTTGTAGGTCTAAAATTTAAATTTTGAGTTAAATGGGTAAATTTATATCATATTGTATATATTCCCCATCATCTAATATTAAAAATAAATAAATAAATAAATAACTAAAACAAAGCTTACATAAATATAAAAAATAAAAAAAGAGGAATAAGCTGCATCAAAAAGTTAATTATCAAAGACACATCCAAAAAGAGCAAAAATAATGTTTAGATTCACCAGTTTTCAATGAAAAGTAAACTCATCAAGACTTGAGGCAAGAACCTGATTATGTGCGGTATGTGTGGAGGTAGTATTGAAGATACCAACCATCTTTTCATTCATTGTAAAGTTGCTTTTATGGTCAGGAGTAAGTGTGCACAATGGTGGAGGTTCCTCTCAGTGCAACTCGAGACTTGCCAAGATGATTTTGAACAACATAGACCCCCTGTCAAAGACTGTTTCGTGAGAGCTGGGTGGGATGTAGTATGGTTCTCCATTGTATGGTCATTGTGGCTAGCAAGAAATGCAAAGATTTTCAGGAACCAGGAGCAAGAGACTGACAGAATTTTTGAGCTCGTTCGATTAAGAGCCTTCAATTGGATCAAGGGCAGGACAACGTGCTACTCTTTCACCTTTCATGATTGGATGCTGGAACCTGTCCTATGTCTTAAAGATAAAAGAGGTACACGTTAAGTTTTACCTCCATGATATGCAGGTTGTTGTTATTGTCACTTAGTGGTTGTTTGACTGTGGCTGCCTTTTCGCTGGTATACGTCCCCAGTCTTATGTTAGCTGGTATTTATCCTGGTATTTTGTTATCCTGCAAGGTCTGATGATTTTGCCATTGAGCAGTTAGTTGACTTTGGCTAATTCTTTTGTTGGTACATAGTGATCAATTTTATGCTAGCTGAAGTCAGTGGATGCTCAGTGATAATCTATTTTGTAACACGAGCAAGAGTACACCTTATACTCCATTAAATAAATTTCTTTTGCTGTGCAAAAAAAAGACTTGAGGCAAGAACATTTTTTTTTTCTTTACTTTGATTAGCCAACAAAATTCAATTTATATTAAATGGAAGTGCATGAGTGGTATTCCAACATCCACCCATCATGAACATGCCTTAAAATTCTCCCAACGTGCAAAACAAATAAATCACAAAACACATAAATCCAAACTACATCATGTTACTTGATCCTGTACTTGTCTTGCTTCCTTCACAGCCTCCCCTGCATCCATTCACTGCTCTAGGACAATCCCAGGGCCAGGGGTTATGGCACCAATCGTGAAAAGTAAAAGTGCATCCCTTAGCTTTATTTTTGGACAAGTATAAGATTTCATAAATTTTCTTCTAAATACATTCCAGCTGCCTTTTAAGGCCATTTTTTAAAAATAAATTGCTTCCAACTTGGATGTTAAACATGCAATTATGAGAGACAAAATTAATGTAAGGGGCTTCTGATTTAGTCTCCAATCGTACTAAAGAGTTCATAGATTTGGAGTGCACTGGAAGATGATTAAATTGTTTTACCTTACAAATATATCCAATGATTTCTCTTAACTAATTCTAAACACATGTGGGTAATATTTTATTTTATTTTATTTATGACCGATTAACAAATGCACCTCAAGTAGTGATATATGCTTCAAAGGGAATCAAAATATCTAATGCATTAGATTTCTATTTTCTCTAAGTAAAATTTTCTCATTCCTACTTATAGTTTATTAAGTGATTATATCATTTCTATGCTTCTCACTGCTGGCCTATAGACATAATTTGATCACATATATGAATTAAACATCCAAAATAAAGATTATATACATAGAGTTAAGATTCACTTATTTATAACTCTTAAACACATTAATTACATAAAATCTTCATCATTTAACCCTCTACCATGAATAGTTGAAATTGATCACAACTTTTTAAACAAAAAAGACAATTATATTTAAAAAAATATATGATAAAAAGTAGATAAATCTCAACTATTCATAAGGGAGAGATGAACCATTTGCATGTAAAGAGTTGTATTTAAGTGGATCCTAACTCCTAAATATATAACTAAGAAAGGAAAAACATAAATATTTACCCAACACTTGAAAAGCAGACGCTTGGGATGACTAATTGACTATAAAGAAGGATAATCTAATAAGCCTAAGAGCCTACATCTAATAAAAATAAGGTAGATTTCTATGCCTCATTAAGGCATAGAGTCACAGATTCCTTCTAACACAGGCAACATCTGTTTTAATTAGCCGTGCACCAATGAATTTCATACACTCACTTCTATAGGATATGCTACAAGATATTAATGACTTAATAACTACTTTAGGTAGTCTCAACCTTTTATGGTGAAAATTGAAGGGTTTAACACAATTCCTATAGCACATGTGATAATCACACACCATCTATATATACCAGTGTGAGATTCAATGTCTAATAATTAATATGTAAATTGCAATGGTGGTAGGCTAAAAACTAGAATTACAGTTTCTAGTTTCTAGCGGCTAAAACGTACTTTTAACCCTTTACCTAAATAAATTTATAAGTTTTATCCCATTATCTTATATTATAACACTTTTAGCCCTTTATCTTAATAAATTTATAGGTTTTAACCTCTCACTTTATATTACAACACTTTTAATCCTTCACCTATACGAATTAAAGAAAATAACTTAGGTTATAATGTTCTATTAGTTTTGTTAACTAATTGTTAACTTTGTTAATTAACTGTTACCATTTCGTTAGTATTCCACTAAAGGAACTAAAAAACAAAATTGAATTTAAATTTCATGTTTTCTATAACGAAATGCTAATGAATATTAATGAATGTTAACAATCAATTAACAAAACTAATAGAATTATAACCTAATGTTAAGTGAGGGCTATTTTCTTTAATTTGTATAAGTGAAGAGCTAAAAGTGTCGTAATATAAGGTAATATAAGGTGAAAGGCCAAAATCTATAAACCTATTAAGATAAAGAGTTAAAAGTGTCATAATAGTATAAAGAGAGGAACTAAAACCTACAAACTTATCAAGATAAAGAGCTAAAAATAAGTTTTTGCCGTTCCTAGCAGCAAAGCTTTTGCAAAGCCTAACGGACACGTTTGAGAAAGGCAAAATGCGCCCAAATGAATTTGTTCCAGCAGCAAAGCATATCATGAGAGTCATTCTTGATATTTCATCAAAAGAAATGAACTCAAGACAAATAGGAAGAAAAAAATCAATGCAAATAGTAAGATTTCCTAATGGAACTGAGGAAGTACAGATCCACGTAATAAGCATATTTGTAAAATTTATGGAAGAAGCTTTGTAGTACAAAAAGGATTTTAAAAACACGAGGGGATAAATAAGATTGTCTTAAAATAGAAAAGAGGAACAAAAACCAAACTTGCAAATTCTGTTAAACGATCAACATATATAGTAAAAAGAAATAATCAGTTTTAGAACATTTTTGGTATAATTAAAAAGAGGAGAATGATTGATGCATCCTTCAACATACCTAATAATTCCCACCGATTTAGTTATTAAAATTTGCTTTCAAAATTTCTCACCTTAAATTCAAATTTTTAAATATTAGTTTCTTAATTATAATTAAGAATTAAGAACCTATAGGTATAAGTATTGTTAGGTGTGATAAACTAAAAGTTGTAACAATCATTATTCTTAAAAAGAACATACTCGGAGCTTGAAAACTCATAAATTCTTCCTTTTTGAGAGAAGATGATAACTGCAACATCTACAACACGGAGAACGGATAGCTCAAAAGCCTTCTTAAGCAGCCCCTTTCGACGCTCGGAGAAGGTCACTTGTCTGTTTGCTGCATTCTCGATCCTTTCCATCACAATTTTTCCTCTCACCATCTACTACTTCATCGTCAGAGCCACGTCAATCAGTATCTTTACAGGAGAATCATTTTTTCTTAGAAAAAGTGACACAAAATACTCACCAAAATTGGGCAAAGTCCCCAAATACAAATTAAGTAGCTACGCAGTGTGTAGCTATTACTAAAGTTTCAACCTTTGCAAAGAAAAATGACAAATTTTGAAGAGATCTATAGTGGCAACCCAGAGGAAGGGTTTAAAAGGTCAAAGGAAAGAGAAAAGAAGTAAAACACAGAAAGAAAATAGCCTAAGTTTTCTAGTACAACAAACAAGTATCAGCCCTGTGCAAAGAAAACAAATTTTGAAGAGATAAATGATAGCAGCCCATGATCCCATAGAAAGGTTTCATCTTTCAAGGAGCAAAGAAAGGAGGAAAAACAGAGAGAAAGTTACTGGGAAAAGCCAAAATTTTCTAGGAAACCAAACAGCAACCACCCTAGAAAATTCTAGGGAACGAAGGGAGGAATCAAAGAAAGGGAGAAGTTCAGACACCCTCTAAAGATAAGCAGAGACGCAGGGGATCTATTGATTTTTGATTTAGCACTTTCCTTATATTTAGACACAAAACCCTCATTTTCTTTCAAATCCACTTTTGTCTTTCCCCACAAAAAGACAAAAATCCATAGCTAATTAAAAGCTTTTTAACTCATCTTCTCACCTTGTGTTGGCAATATTGAGAAAAAAAAAAAGGAAAAGCAGAACAGAAAAATACTAATGAATAAAGAAAATAGACAGCAAACACCCCAAAATAAAGGAAAGTAATAAAAAGATAGTACTATTAGTACATGTCAACATTTTCCTACAATGATGTGCTCAACGGGCCAATGGTGTCTTGACAACGCATCACGTTAGATCGACCAATGGGGTGGGGGGTGCTTGCTTTGAATGGATTGTCTAAAACCATTAGCGTGAGAAGAAAATTGTTCATGCTTGCTTTTGTTTTTAAGTAAAAAAATTTTCTTCTTCGTTTCAAGAGGGAAAAAAAAAAGAATAAGAAAAATGATGCATGCATTATTAACCAATAGGAGTTTGGTGTCGACACCATACAGTAAGCATCCAAAATTAGCAAGGACTGTTCGGCTCTCATTAATTTATGTCTTTCAAGTTG